CCGCGATTGGGTCGATGGGTAACGACCCGTCAAGGATGTACATGGTAATCTCATCAATCCAATCCGGCTCCTCTCTGAGTGTGATGATCAGCACTTGTCCGGGACTGATGCTTGGCTTGAGCAACTCTTCTTCCTGGGTCATTGCCTTAATATGATCCGGGGAATCCGGACCAAGCTTTGACAAGATATCTGCCTCAGCGTTCTCTTCCCGAGGGACCTACTCTATCCGGTACGCCCCGAATGCTTTAAGCTACTCCAGGGCAGCGTCTCTATACTTCTTCATTCGTTCATCCTTGGCCTCAAATTCTCCAGTGACGTGGCCTACCACTAGCTTGGAATCGCACCGGACTTGGATTCGCTCAGCTTTTAATGAGGCTGCCAACCTCAAGACGCAAAGCAGTGCCTCATATTCAGCCTCATTGTTTGAGACTTTAAACCGGAATCTCACGGAGTAGTATGCCTTGAACCCTTCCAGAGATATCGCCACGACACCTCCCCCCGAAGCATCAGTCGCGGACGACCCATTGGTGTACACGGTCCACCAATTCCCCTCGGGTTCTTCTCCACTAGATTCTACCTCCCTCGTAGTGCATTCTACCACGAAATCTGCTAATGCTTGCCCCTTTATCGCCGGTCGCGGCTTGAACTCTATTTGAAAGGATCCCAGGAACACTCCCCACTTGCTGACCCGTGACGGGGCATTTGGGCTTCGAAGAAGCGTTCCGATGGGAATTTGTGATAACACATGGACCAGATGGGCTTGAAAATATGGGGCGAGCTTTTTCACTGTACACACTACCGCAAAGATGGTCTTCTCCATGTTGGTATATCTCAACTCCGCCCCTCGCAGCACTCGGGCCACATAGTACACAGGTCGCTGTGCGCCCTCCTCCTCCCTCACAAGCACCGAGCTCGCAGCTCGAGGAGAGATTCCTAAGTATAGGAATAAGGTCTCTCCGGGCTCTGGCTTCGAAAGCACTAGTGGGGAGAGGATATATGTTTTTAACCCCTCAAAAGACCGTTGACATTCCTCGGTCTAAACGAACCCTCTACTCTCCTTAATGGTCTGAAAGAAAGGAGCCGCTCGATCAGCTATCTTTGATAAGAAACGACTGAGAGCAGCAATCCTGCCGGTGAGCTGCTGGACCTCCTTTACATTTCGCGGAGGCTCCATCTCCAAAATCGCCTTTACCTTTTCCGGGTTAGGCTCGATCCCTCTCCGGCTGACCATATGTCCTAGGAATTTACCCCCCTGCACCCCAAATGTGCATTTCTTGGGGTTAAGGCGAAGCTGGAACTTCTTCATGATCTTGAATACTCTCTCCAGGTCGCCAGCATGAGACTCCGTCCGTTTGGACTTGACAATCATGTCGTCCACATACGCTTCCATGCACCCCCCTAGTACTGGCGCGAACAGCTTGTTCACCATCCGTGCATAGGTCGCCCCAGCATTCTTCAAACCAAAAGGCATCACCTTGTAACAGTATACCCCATTGGGGGTGATGAAAGCGGTCTTTTCTTCATCCGCCACTGCCATCTTGATCTGATGGTATCCACTGAATGCGTCCATGAAACTCATCAGCTCACATCCTGCCGTCTCATCAACCAACTGATCAATGTTGGGGAGAGGAAAAGGATCCATCGGGCAAGCTTTATTTAGATCAGTGTAATCGACGCACATCCGCCAGGTATTCCCTTTGGGTGCGAGGACTACATTTGCCAACCATTCCGGGTAGCGGACTTCCCGGATGTGCCCAATGGACTGCAGGGTGGTCACCTGCTTGGTGACAAACTCTCTCCGTTC